TGAATACTGGCAAAAAAATACACTCCATAAAACTCTTATTTCAGCAAGATGCTCAGTTAGTATAACTTTAATAACCTAAATATTTGTTCAAAAAAAGAAATAGTAAAATACATGCACACCCTCCCTGAAATGAGAAATGCTTCCCTCACTGAAGCCTGATTCAATATACTTACACTATTGCAGAAAGGGTGAATGGAGAAAGAAGTTTTAAAAGTAAATCAAGCAGGAGCGATTTCAAGGTAGTCATTCCAGAGCTATCTGCAAAACAAATACCCTGCCAGTTTCCCATAAATATGCCAAGGGAAACCTGTAAAATGACAGGATTTCATCTCGAAAAGCTGCATGATGTAAGCATTCTCCAGTAAAAATGTCTCTGCAATTTTTTGCTTTCCAAGCTTTTGGGTGACTTTTCTCTTTACACATATTGTCCGTTGGCAATATTTTTTCGTACCTGAGCTAGCTGGGATGCTACCCTCCTGGTTATCTCCTTAACCCTTCCCCTTTGTCCATCCACACAGTAGGAGCTTACTGGGACCTTGGCCTCTCTACATCCTGGTCTCTAGGGTCTAGCCTGCGGAACTCAGCATTCTCACGGTTCTCTGGCCCTTTGCCCTCCTCCTTTGCGTCTACCTGACTGACACACATGTGCACCAGTGAGCAGCATTCCGAACACACAAGCATGCTGGCCTGTCTGAAGGGAGCAGATGGCGTATTTATAATGATGAAATAGAACTGAGGAATTCTAAGACATAAAACTCAGTGCCACATGAAATAGAAAAGTCAGGTCAAAAAGAAATGGCGATTTTGCATCTTATAACGCTTACCACTTTTTTAGAATACTTACTATTGCTCGCTTTTGTTTTAAAGATCAAGAACACAGTCCTGAATGCCCTGCAGCAGGCGGGCTGTTTTTGTGGGATTACAAACGTGCACACACTTTGCCTCCACTGGCGAGCATGCGGATTTAGAACCTCTAGCCTGTGAACTGCCTTGCCAGGACTCTGGTGATAGACATAAACTCCATATTTCCTGCATACTTTCTTTGGAGCGACAAAATGCTTGGTGAGACTATCTCGCATTTGGACATGAGGAGAAACCAGTATTTTTAGAATGGCTCCTTAATGCCAATAGTCTATATTCAGCATTTCATGTAATCCATAGGAAATGTTATAAGTGGAAGCAGCAAAGTCTGGAGAAGAGCCAACCCGCCTACCCTCTAATCCACCCACACGCCTGTGCAGATAATTACAGAGCGTGGGGCTGGTGTTGGGGGAACCCAATGATGATCTGGTGAATCCCGGGCACTTACTGGGAACATGGCTAACATCCCCGAGGTGAGGCACTCTAATGGGAAGAAACAGATTAGAGCGCTGAGGGTAGGGAATGCCGTGTGATGTGGCAGACGGACAGTTTTCAGATGTGATGTAGATTGCATGGTTCCTCTGCTCGAAATTCCCTACCGGCACCTCACCTCACTCTCAGAAAAGATGAGCTCCTCACAACGACCCAGCTGGTCTCTCAGCACCTTGTCAACCCTTTAGCTCACTCTGGCTGCTGCCCTGGCCTCCTTGCTGTTCTGTCAACACGCCGGGCCACTACAGTCTGCTGCCACTACGCTGCTGTCCCCAGACAGCTGATTGGCTCCCTCCTTCTCCTACATGGCTGGGTCCAAACGCCTTCTTCTCCACAAAGTCTCACGTGTGCTCTCCCCGCCCTGCACTGTGGATCAAGCTGACCCTGCTCTGGATCCATTTTCTTTCCACAGAAACCACCACCTTCCAAGGTACTGTGCAATTTGCTTACTCGTGGTACGGCCTTTCTGAGCCCCTATTCCAGCAGCTACGGCATAATAAGTTCCTCCGGGACAGGGAGTGTGTCTGTCTCCTTTACTGCTGTAGGACCAAGGCACATGATAAACATCTTGAATACACCGAAAATACTCACAGATAAACAAATACAACTGGAAGAACAGCTCTGTTTTGGTTGGGCACCTTGCAAGAACCAACACAAAGGCGAGGTTGATTTGGAGGAAGAAGGGAGATTTGGAGGGTAAGGGATTCAGCCTGTGGAGAGGCTGGGGCAGGCGCTTGCTGCAGAGCTGAGCAGAGTGATGGAAGGGGAGAAGAGGAAGTCTAACTTAGACCCTGTCACCTCCCGAAGGCCTTGGGACGTCACAGGCAGAGCAGGACTCGCTCTCCTCTGGCCCAGCCCAGAGACCTCATCCTAGAGTCTGAGGAAAATGACTTTCAAGGAATTCAGTGCAACAACCAGAACTAGTATTTATGGTGCCTTGCTGTCATACTCCTGGACTGACACAGTGGGGGCACAGTGGGTTAACATGTATCGCTGGGACTGTCACGGAGCCTGGCGATGGTCAGTCAGTTCATCTTCACTGTGTTGGATAAACCAGGACTTCTCTAAAAATTCGGAAGTAGGATCTTTGAACATTTACAATACTCCTTTGAAATCCCATTTAGAAGTGATTTATGAGCCAGATAGAAAAAACATCTGCTTCACTCTAGAACTACACATATTTTTTTAAAAAGACAATGCTTTTGTGTTGGTTGACCTTCTTCAATTGGAATGATATCTGTTGGCCATGATTTGAACTTCTCTGGCCCTTGGAGCAGTGCACACTGCTGGACATTCGAAAAATTAACCTAGCCTTAAAGGAAGAGATTAACCACAATTCCCAGCACTGGGGAAAAAAGGTATCACAGGCTTTGAAAAACAACTCTCATAGAAGAATTCCAAAGATGTCTGAACATTGGAGACATTGTTGAAATGGGAAGTGTCCTCCCTGCTTCCAAGGATGAAACACTAAATGCAGAGTGAAAATGCCGGTTTTCTTATTCAACACTCTCTGTGGTTACTTTGAAGTTGTAAGATATTCGATAGAACATGCCTTTCCTACTGCAGTACATGGTCAAAGTAAATAACAATACCGATATCCACCACTGAGCTAAATAAATGAGAACTCGGATATTAAACTACGGCCCCAATTCCGTTAGTCGAGTGCATGAGAACATCTCAGCTCCTGGCGTGGATAATCAGACCTCCTCCTGGCCAGGCAAGTCGACTTGTAACCTTAGCTTCCAACTTCAGTCGTATCAAACATTCACATTGATGCCTTCAAACTATAACTCTGGCAACTTCAAGCACACAGCTTTGATGCCTTTATAGCTTAAAAACCTATCCAGATTAAACTTTATATCAGTCTTAAAAGTGTATTTATTTTTTTCTAGGAGGGAGTGAGGGGAGAGAGAGAAACTCAACAAGGTCTTCACGCCGCTGTCCTACCTCTAACCACAGCCAGCAGAACCGCAGGTGCCCTGAGGATAGAGGAGACCTTGGGATGTAAGCCCCGGGATTTTCTATGACCTCAGCATTGTGGAGTCTGTGTAGTTACCACTGTGTCCCCATGGCTGTCCTTGATATGAGGCATAGGAACAAGCCCATCACCTCGATGGAACATTTTATCACTTCCTTTTTTCTACATTCCTACAGCTCAGCATCAGGAGAAGGTAAAAGTTAGGAAGCCAGGGCCAGCAGGTGCCTGGTGGTTAAGGAACTGGACTCCCACATGGACTACTGAGGTTCAAGTCCCAGACCCAGCTGCTTTAAAATCATGCTGTGGGTGCATGTGCGTGTGTGCCCAAAACCCCAAGAGGAGAACGGAGAAGAAGAAATTGCAGCGTGACCATCCCCCCTGGGGATGATTTCTCACTTTCACTCTGTCTCCCCTTGTCTCTATCAGGCAAGCTCATGTGCCTTACTGGAAAAACCAAAATTAAAAAAAGAAAAAAAGGGTACAAAGCCACTTAGAGGTAGAAAGATTGCTGCTCGAACAAGGCAATCATATTTTAAAATATTGCTGGCACAATAACGTAACGGTAATAATTGAAATGCAGTGGCACTTTCCAGTTCATGCTACAATAATCTGGTGTCACCTGAATAAGCATGTCACAGTGCCTACGCTGTGCCATTCTAATTGACCTTGTCTCCTGCCTCATTATGGACATTTCTCAGAGCCAGGGGGTCTGAGAGGTTCTACGGGTAGACAAAAGTGTCCTGGTTTTCAAGTGACTCTCAGTTTTGTTGGAAAGACATGTGGGTGAGTAATGACAATGAGTTAACAACAGAGAAGGTCTCAGAGGTTACAGGGCCTGGGGTGAGCAGAGTTCCTGGCAGAGGTAGTGCCCAGTGGATGCATCAGGGATGAAAGGAAGTGTGCCAGCTAAACGGGGCGAACAGTCCTAGGAGAGAGGAGGAGAAGGGATTGTGGCATGGCCATCCCTGCTGGGAGCTGATTGCTCATTTCCCCTCTCTCCCTTTCTCTCTCCAGTGAGCACATAAAAACAAAAACAAAACAAAACAAAAACAAAAACACACTGTATATTGCTGAACTACCTTTAAACTTAATTAAAACAAGGTACTTTTCTAATGTATTAACTCTGGTAGCTTGATAAAAGAGAGCTTGTACCCTAACTTTCTAAAAACTAAAATACTAGCTGTATTCACACACACACACACACACACACACCGACATTTACATCTTTCTGTGGAGATTATTAGCCACTTCTCTTTACCAGGATAGGTTTTAACTGGAGCTAAGGAATTTGTGCAGTGAAACGAAGAACAGACACTTGGCTAAAAGAAATAATTCAGGGCACATTTGCAAAGGGGACTCAACCAAGTATAACTAGTCCTCAACTGATCACAATTATTTTCAGAACGTTGCTTACTTGATTATACGTTTATATTATGCCTCTTTATATGATTATCCCCAAAGAATAACTGCATACTTTTAGGAGAGAAAACACTCGCTGTTTCCAGGTGTACTCACCAATGCAGAGATCACACACAGGCCCAGATGCAGTCACGAGGTGCACACGCACCTCACTACACAATGCATATGCGCACAGCACAGGGTGAGCAACTCACACAAAGAACGTACGTTTACGGTCCAGTGTGAAATTCTATATTACCCTTCTTTTCCTTCATTCAAAGCATGGAAGGGCGTCTTCTGTAAGTTGAGGGCCCTGCCTACACAAGGCAGGCTGGGTCCCCACACCCATCTCACGCCCGCCCCTCACCTGTTCCCTCTGAGCCCAGCGACGCACTGCAGAGGCACCTACCTGGCTGAAGCTCTGGCCTGCAGGTCGGGCTTGTGTGGCACGGGCTGGGAGCTGTGAAGGGGCCGTTTCACCCAGGGCCAGGGTCTGGTTGCTATGGTAGCTGGCCGGATACTGGAAAGACCCTTCAGGTTTGGAATTGAGCTGAAGTGCACTCTGGGAGAGAAGGCTGGGCCCTGCATTGAAAGTCATTTAGAGCAGTCAGTGACAGTGTCAGTGAAGCAGAAATGACATGTATTATTTATTGAGAGTAGCCTAGAATTATCACATGCACATGACTCCAGCCATCTATGCTTTGAATTCTGAGCACTAAAATGACCATATAACTCGACTCCAGCTCTCAAATGAGATTTTTTTTGGGGGGAGAGGGAGGGTGGTTTAAAAGTTCTCAAAGGAGTAGATTTTTCAAATGATCTCATCCTGACCTACATAGAGACATTTCTTAGGAGACAAATTAGTTAATCAAGTAGTTATTTTTGGATCAGACAATATCAGAAATATTGGAAATAATTCAAAAGTCTACCTTTCTGTACATGTTAATTGCGTTAATATAATTACATCTCCCACTTAACGATCAGGATGTGAAGAAAACACTTGAAACCTTCCAATCAGTGGTAAATGCTATTGTATAAATAGTGATGGAAGACCTCAGTGCCTGAAGGGGAGACAGTGTTTAAAATATTAACAGCAATTCGTGCAATGTAGACTTCGCCCTGATCTCACATCATCTCTGATGACTAGCTCTCTCTGCCATCACAGCAATGCACAGTCGGAGAACAAAGGGAGAGGCCGAGCCAGAATTGGTGCCACTAACCTGATCCATATTACCTGGGATGGAGAAACGAGAATCAGGTCCTGGCCTTAGAATGTATTACATTTTACAAACAAAGTTGTGTTTTATTTCTTACATTCTATTTAGATGAGATCCTTGCAAGAGTTTTCTCATTATCTTTGAGGCAAATTTTCAATACCTGGGGCCAGCCATGCGGTGTAGTGGTTAAGGTGGCTGAATCCCACATGGCTCACTGGGTGGCTCGAGTCCTGGACACAGTGCCCTGCAAAATGCGCCATGTGTGCATGCGTACGTGCCTGAAATCCTAACAGGAGAATGAAAGAGAGGGGATTGTGGTGTGGCCATCCCCCTGGAGGATGGGGTTAATTTCTCGCTTTCCTTCTCTCTTTCTCTTTCTTCGTCTCTCTCTGGTGAGCATATCTTTTTGCCCTATATATTAAAAAAATTAGTACTCACTTTGGGGATTAAAGAACTCCTAGAAGAATGAAAATATATTTGCTCTTTTCCATTGTATGTGTTTGAAAGGGGGCTAGGGTAAGAGAAGGGTGTTGAGGGGAATAAGTTTTCTCATTCTTTTTCATATTCTGGTACAAAGCGATCCCTTTCTTTGATGGAGAGTAATAATACATGCATAAGCCACAGCATAACCATCAAACTACACTTCCACCCCTCTCTTTGGGTGTTTTAGACAATAGTATCTCTTTTTTTTTACATTTCACTTACCACAGAGAATGTGTCTCCACAGAGACACAGAGACAAGGAAAGAGAGAGGGAGGGACAGGCAGAAAGCACTTCTAACAGGGCATGGTCACACTACAATGACTTCTCCATTTCTCCAACCTGTTAGGATTCAGGGCACACACAAGCTCCCAGTGTGTTTTTGATACCACTTGGGCTGGGATTTGAACCATGTGATCAGACATGTAGGATCTAGCTTCCTTAATCACCAAGCCATGGGGCTGGCCTAGCAATTGTATAATTTCTAATAGCATGAACAAATTTCAGGTGCCTTATTTTTTTCTTTTTAAATAGAAATACACTTTGTATTTAGAATGAGATCCTAGATTTAATGCAAAGGGACCACTTTGCATAAAATGTGTCCTCTTTATGTAGCATTGATTCATATAATTTCCACCATTTAAGACTTCCTCCTTTCCTCTGATTTGTTGATAGAACATCTAAAAAACATACAGGTACTTCTGTCATCACGAAGTGTTGAATAATAACTCAACTAACACAGGTAAGACTTTCTCTTTTGGAAGCTATTTAGTTTCTGGAAAAAAATTGAACAAGGGAGTAAAAGTTCTTCCATCCAGCCCCCACTTCATCATGAAGAGCATAACAAATGTACAAGTGTAATTCTTCACCTTTTGATTTAGAAAATACAGTCTCTAGAAAACAGTTTATACCAGATGGGGAGGTTTCCAATAGCCTTCAAAAAATCATTGAGTCCATGCTGCTGGATTCTAGGCCTAATCACCAGATCGATGGCGTCTCTGGCTTCATTCTGGGAGCGAGGAACGTACTGTCCCTATCACCACAATGGGAGCTTCCAGGCACAGGAGAATCAAGAGGTGACCCTTAAAGTCCAGGGGATGGGCAGGATGGGGAATGGGAGAACCTTTGGAAGAAAGGCAGGGAACTCTGATGGGGCAGGGACACATAGGGACTAGCTCAAGGAGCAGAGAAAGCCAAACTAGGGGGACAATGATAAACTGTGGCCAAGAGTTTTACCACTGAAGGTCACTTGACCTACAGAAGGTCACAGCTTGAGGGAGAAAGGTGAGCTACAGTGGAGGAGCAGAAGCACTTCCGGGTTGGTGATCTATCTGCATTCTTCTTGCCAGTGGGCAGCTTCCCACTGAGGCTTGTTAGGCGACCTCTTTCAGAACAGTCCATCTGATATAATAGCTTGCAATAGCCACACCCTCCTCCCCACTGTAATGCATTTCAAGGACAATGAAGGCCAAAGGAGATACAGCAGCGCACAAACTTGCTAATGTCACACTACATAGCTCCACATACTCTATACAGCAAAATAGTAGCATGTTCTTATAATCTGCCTTTTAGAGTTTGTGTAAATTTACTCTGAAGAACTTTATTGAATATATATTAGGTTGTTGGGAAAGTCATAATTATTTTTCTAATATGTTTCAAAAATGCATCATGACTTTCTTAATGACCTAACCTAACCGCTAGCAAATGAAATAATTTTGTACATTCTGAATGTAAGTATCTCTAGGAACCTACAAATGCTGTCTGTGCAGGATCCTTGGGTGACAAAATAAAGTCCCTTTCAAAAGAAATGCAATTAGGAGTATGATTTATTTGCTCCTGAAATATATATCATGAAATAATCAAATATGCTCACTTTTTACAGAACCAGTTGTGTATTTGATCAATACTCAATGAAAACAAACCAACATCCTCCATCTCACTACTTTGTTCAGACATCTCAAGCACAGAGACTTAAATGCACTCTGACAAAGGTAATTGAGACAATGGGCAATGTATCACAATATCACAGCACTGACAGAGCACCTGGAGAGGACAGAGCCATCAGGACAGTGGCAAAACCTGTATGCATCTTAGAATGATTTTCCTCATTGCTCACTAGGTTTTAAATCCATGTTATCTACTAATTTCAATTTAAGAGTGCAGAAATAGGTGAAAATACAAAAAAAAAAGGTTTAAAATTATGGGAGAATTCTTAATTACTTTATTTATTCAAATTGCTAGAGATACATGCGCTCACCAGAAAGAGATAGAGAGATAGAGAGAGAAAGAAAGCACCCCTAATTGGGCATGGCCACATCACAATCCTGTGTTTCTCCATCCTGTTGGGATTTTGACCATTCATACACACGCACCCAACATTCAAGCCACCAGGGCTGGGATCTGAACCATGGTCAGCCACGCGGGATCGGATTCCCTTATGGGGCTCGCCCGTCCTTTATAATGGAAGTAAATTTGCATATAGGTAACTGTTGGTTTTTTGACATTACCACGCATTGAGGTAAAATATAAATTTGCCACAGATTTTAAAAATATTCATAGTTTGGGGCTTAAACGATGACCATCTTTCTTCAGAGCTTTTGATTTCATGCCAAGCCTTGCTTGACTTAGAGGTAAGGTCAGGGAGCAGTCCTGACAGGGATGGGGGGATGAAGGAGAAATTCTAAAATTCCACCCAGGGAAGCAGAATGGTGTCTTGGGTGCAATTAATTGCTCCAGAAGAAATTTGAACTCTAAGCAACAGTGGGTCAACCTGTCCTTGTTAGTCACAGAAAGCAGAGGCTGCATTCTGGTACACACACCTGCAGGACACTGAGCTGAAGGTCACAGGGACTTCTTTGACCAGTCCTCCCTTTCCCAATCAGAGGATAGTCCTCTAAACTGAGCCTCGGGATCTGCTCAAAATTACTCACTCTCATGGGCCAAGAAGAGGACATGTAACCATTTCCTGATAAACTGATAAGGCTCAAGACAGTTTTGTATTCTTGGACATATTGAAACTCATTGGTCCCAACTGGACAGAAGGAATACATTCCAAGGGAATATTATTGATCTTGTGAATCTCAAGGAGACACATGAAGCAAAGCTGTGTACAGTATTATGTCTCAACATTTTTCTTATACATGAATTGATCAGAGACCACACCGCAACCTATGAAAAGTTGTCCTTTCTTCATTTTTCCCGAAGTGCATGTACAGATGCATAGAGGGGGCGAAATCTGTCATAAACTAGTTACTTTTTATCTCCACGTCCAAGGATGTTTATTTCAACACATTATAGTTTAAAAAGTTCCATAAAAAGAAATCCACTTGTTTACAGGAGAACTCTTCATGCCTCCGAGTATGTTACTTCCCCAGTAAACCGCTGCTTAGAGATTCCAGATGTTGGCTCAGGAAAGTTTTCTGTTTACTGTTAATCAGACAAAGTCAACCTTGGCAGATGAAGAGGTTGAAGTGTGAACTTTCTATTTCAAACTTTCAGAGCCACTGAGCTGGTCTTTGGCCTGTGGTAAGGGAGCCAGATTCCATATAGTCAGCCACGTAGTTCAAATCCTGGGTTGAAAACCATGATGGACACTTGCACATGTGCACCTCGAATTATGTTAGGACGGAGAAGTGAAGGAGACAGGGCTGCAGCATGGTGCTCTGTCGGAGGGTGTTTCCTCCCTCTTTCTCTCTCAGTCTGTCACTTTCTGGTGAGCACAGGAGTGTCCTCTGGCAAAATTTAGAAAAAAAATTTCTGACCGAATTATGGGTAGTATTATAGACATTACGATATAGTTTCTTCTGCCCAAAGCATCTAGATGCTTTAGTTTCTGTGATCACGTGACTTTTTCCTGTTCACACAGGCTGAGCGACATGCTTTCTG